CTATAAAAGCAGGGTTGGTATCGGTTCAGTAACCGAACCGATAAGGCCAAACTGATACCGAACCTCCATTTTCGGTAACAGTAAACTAGGCAACCGAAACTGAAACAGAACCAACTTGTAGTCGGTAACCGAAAAAAACGAAAAAAACCCAAAAAAGAGCCCAAGCCCAAATATGAAATACTTGATGCCCAAAATCCAAAATGCACAACTTTGAAGTTCTACATTCAATCACAGGCACAACATATGTAATCTTAAAAGTTAAAACAAAACATGCATTGTTCAAATATTCAATCACCAATAATACTTAATACATCCAAATTCAATCACCCTACAACATTCAAGTTCTAACCCCAACATTCATTCACCAATAATACACAACTTGCAAGAACAAACATTCGTCCACCATGATTAAGTCCAACAACTAAACAATAATTCAAAGTTCCAACATGATTAAGAAAATAAACAAATAAAAAACGCAACAATAACATCAAGTTCAACATCACCAATCACTCCAAGTTCCAATTTACTACTCCTGCATAAGAAAAAAAATTGCATTAAGAGAATAAAAATATTATTACAACAACAACAATAACAACATACCCAGTATATTCCCAACAGATTAGGGTCTGGGGGGTCAGTTGTACGCAGACCTTACCCTTGTAATTATATTTTAAAAGAAATAACACTAATTATAATAAAATTAAAATACAAGAACCTCATCTATTAATTTGCGCGATGAAGTAGCACCACGGTTTGATCGATGGGGTGGTAGTTTATTAAACCCTAACTCGTGTGGATTTGTAGTTTTAGCTTGAGGTGGTGGCATTTCATTTAGGCGTACCTATAAAATAATACAAATAAGTTAATAACCAAAAAAATATTTCATGCACAATATTGATACAAAAATATTAATAAAACAGTTACTTTGTTCCAATTGTTCGAGTTCCATGTAAAACTCAAGCTCTTCTTCCGTAGGCTCTTTGCGAAATGGGCAAGTCCTAGAACTTCTTGACAAATCCCTAGCTCTTTCCCAATCTTCATTCTTCGGAGGCCCTACTCTTTCCTCTTCAAAGTATATCACAAATGACCGAAATTCTTCCACCAACCTTGTAAATACATCTTTAAACTTGTAAGCACTATTAAGCATGGTGTTTATGTGGCATTCCATCGAGTCACAACATCTGATAGATAGTAGACATTTTATCCTTCTTCTCTAAAACCGCAAACTCCCGAAACTTATCCAACCTCGCACTATCGCACTAGAAGAGTGAATATACTTCACACAATTTCGAATGCCTTCAATGGACTCTACAACTCTTTCATCTCATCCTTCACAATCAAGTTATTATGTGACAAGCACACCTCATATGCAAGTTTTTATCAAGCATAAAGACTATCATGCTTCTAGATTTGCTTTTTTAAATACTTCAGGGCCACATCATTGGAACTCGCATTGTTCATAGTAATGCTAAACACCTTACTTATGCCCCATTCGACCAACTTCTATTCAACACACCTTCCTATATCTTGTCCCTTATGAGAAGCACCCTTTTGTGTAAGTGAAAATCCGAGTCAATAAAATGGGCCGTCACTACCATGTAATTGTTATTTTGGATAGAGGTCCAAGTACTGGTTGATACTCACACGGAGATCACAAATGATGCTTTTATCTTCGCTTTCTCCTCGCAAAATAAACTCCACACCTCCGTCGCAATCTTCCTCCAATTAAGAATCTTATGACGAGGTTGAATATCAAGAATGAATTCTTTGGAAGTCCGGTTGCTCTACGGCTCGAAAAGACATCTCCAATTTGATAATCCACTTCACACACATCTTGTTGACTCTTTTTTTGTTGAAGTCCGAAATTTTTACTTCACCTCCCATCATCGACTGATTTAATGTCGGTTGGCTCTTGTCTATCACCACACGCAGAGAACTCTCATACCTATAATACAAATGATTGAGAAGGCCTCTTGTTCCATTCTTTTTAGTATCGGTCGACATTTGTAAAGTACAATGCTTGCAAATAGAAACTATCTTCTCAATTTATTCTGAATAGTTTTCCTCACTCAATGATCCTAATCGATGCTCCTCTCAGTCCTCTTTTTGATATTGTTTGTTTGTGAAACTGTCGTGTTTCTCGATGATCCCAAGAAAGCACGAGAAACACGAGAATTTCACAAACAAGCAATATTAAAAAGAGGATTGAGAGGAGCATCGATTCGGATCATTGAGTGAGGAAAACTATTCAGAATGAAGAAATTGAGAAGATAGTTTCTATTTGCAAGCATTGTACTTTACAAATGTCGGCCGATACTAAAAGGAATGGAACAAGAGGCCTTCTCAATCATTTGTATTATAGGTATGAGAGTTCTCCTCTTCGTGTGGTGATAGACAAGAGCCAACCGACATTAAATCAATCGATGATGGGAGGTGAAGTAAAAATTTCAGACTTCAACCAAAAAAGAGTCGACAAGATGTGTGTGAAGTGGATTATCAAATTGGAGATGCCTTTTCGAACCGTAGAACAACCCAAAGAATTCATTCTTGATATTCAACCTCGTCATAAGATTCCTAATCGGAGGAAGATTGAGAAGGAGGTGTAGAGTTTATTTTGCAAGGAGAAAGCGAAGATAAAAAGCATCATTTGTGATTTCCGTGTGAGTATCCCTCTATCCAAAATATCAATTACATGGTAGTGACGGCCCATTTTATTGACTCGGATTTTTACTTACACAAAAGGATGCCCAATTTTTGTAAAATTATTTCTCATAAGGGTGAAGATATAGGAAGGTGTGTTGAAGAGAAGTTGGTCGAGGCATAAGTAAGGTGTTTAGCATTACCGTGGACAATGCGAGTTCCAATGATGTGGTCGTGGAACACTTAAAAAAGCAACTTCGGAAACATGATAATCTTATGTTTGATGAAAACTTGCATATGAGGTGTGTTTGTCACATAATTAACTTGATTGTGAAAGATGGGATGAAAGAGCTAGTAGAGTCAATTGAAGGCATCTGAAATTGTGTGAAGTATATTCACTCTTCTAGTGCGAGGTTGGATAAGTTTCGAAAGTTTTCGGTTTTAGAGAAGAAGGATAAAATGTTAACAATTTCGATGGATGTCGTGACTCGATGGAATGCCACATACACCATGCTTAATAGTGCTTACATGTTTAAAAGTGTATTTACAAGGTTGGTGGAAGAATTTCGGCCATTTGTGACATACTTTGAGGAGGGAATAGTGGGGCCTCCGAAGAATCTAAGATTGAGAAAATACTATGGGATTTGCCCATTTCCTCAAGAAGTTCTATGATGCCACCGTCAAGCTTAGTGCCACCAAGACTCCGACCTTACATCTTGTTCTAAAAATCTTGATAAACTTGAAGATTGAGATTGAGTCTATAATTAGAGATAAAAAAAAATTATTGCGTTGCAAAATGTGGCTATTTCTATGAAGAGTAAGTTTGAAAATATTGGGGCTCTTTCGAAGAATTAACATTTTAATGTTTGTAGCCCAAACACTTGATCCACGATATAAATTTCAATTGATAGAGTTGCAACTAGATGAGCTTGGCTAAGTTGAGCACATTAAGAATTGGGTGAAAGCACACTTGTACCTTATATATGAAACTTATAAGGGAACAAGCATGGAAAAGTCAAATGTGGATGTGCATGAGGATGAGAATGATGGTGTTGATCATTAGTGATGATGATGATGTGTAATCGAGGATAGAACGGAAATTTAATGGGGTGGTGGAAAAGTCCTATTCTTTCCGAGGTTGCTAAGGATGTACTTGTTTTCCCTAGTTCGACCGTAGCTAGTGAAAATTCCTTTAGCATTGGAGGAAGGATTGCGGATCCGTTTAGAGCTTCTTTGACGCCTAGGATGGTCGAGGCCTTAGTTTGCACATTTCAATTTCACAAAAAGCCTACGGAAGAAGAGCTTGAGTTCTACATGGAACTCGAACAATTGGAACAAAGTAAGTAATAATATTTTTATATCCATATCGTGCGCGAAATATTTTTTGGTTATTGACTTATTTGTATTGTTTTATAGGCATGCCCAATATAAAATGAAATGCAACCACCTCAAGCTAAAAGTACAAATCCACATGAGTCTGGGTTTAATAAACTACCACCACATCCATCAAACAGTTTCCGTGAGGCATTTCGACACAAGTTTCTGTCGTAACCCCACCCACCACCCACCCCATGAAACATGGTTATTTGCTTCTATCTAAATTTGCTGGAGTCATATTGTCTAATACATGTAGGGTCTAAAATGGCTTGTTTGTCCCTTCCCGAAAAACAAGGCGGCAGGAAAGAAAAGGGGTGGTACCTTGACCTTTGCATCTGTACTAGGACCACAATTTTGCAACACTGAGACTAAAATCAACGTCCTTCGATTATCAATTAGAGCATTATCCATCTATAGGTTTAGAAAGCAAACACAATTTACATGAATTGTACACTCCGGACTGGAGTTATTTGGGGAGTTTTATGCAAATAACTAAGCTGAATACAATATGAAACAATGTCAGAAAATTATAAACGACAGTCAATAATAATAAACATGCATTCCTCGAATGAACTATAGGTTTGTTTACTTGATGATATCAAATAAAAATTGCTAAACAATATTTATCGAAACAAAATAATATCATTCAGAGCAGAAACAGAAAAAGTGAAACAAAATTTTTTACTTTATGAGCGGAGAAAGTGATGCAGACATTTCTTATCTAAAGATATAAACATTTCCACTTTTGCTTATTAATTGACAATAGCTTAGCAACATGCTAATGGGCAACTGCAACTAAATATCTACCTGCAAAGCAAATATTACCAAAATACCAGCTACTGACCTCAGATTTTCCAAAAATTACTAGACATAGTCTTTGAATGCAGAAAAGTCTGTGCATAAGCATCAAGTAGGAGAAGGTACTACGAAACAAATAAGGTTTCTAAGACTTTCTTCTTTATACCTAACCGGTCAGTGAAGTGAGGCTCATGACATTCTGCATAGATCATCATATATCAATCTAAAAAAATAATTTCAACAGTACATTTCAAGCAAAGGTAGAGAACATGAACATCTCAGCATCTTTCCTAGCATGTGATATAGTTTTCTTTCAGTTAGTCAAGCTGTCGGCCAACAAAAACCAAGCTAAAAGATCATTTCTCTAAGATTCTATGATTCTAAATTTTATTTTTTATATTACATTCTCAATTATTTGTCCATTGCAAATGGAGCTGAAAGAGTCATTGTTGACAATTCTCCTGGCATAGTGCTAATAATGGACTAGATCAAAATGACTCAATTAAATTCTAGTGCTTCTTCTATTAGTGAAGTTTCTAGAAAAAAAAATATATCAAACGGCGCAATGTACCTTGGGTCAGCCTCCTTGTATAATTACAAGGGTAAGGTCTCTGACCCCCCAGACCCCAACCTGTTTTTGTTGGGAATATACTGAGTATGTTGTTGTTGTTGTTGTTGTACATTCCCAATTACTTACAGTGACACACAGCATCATATAAATTACAATATCATATATCTAATCACTACCAGCATGATCATGAATGAAAATAAAAATTCAGCATAACTGACATGCAATACAAGGAAAATAAACTACAATCGAACATGGAGAACATAAGCTACCTGTTGGGGGGAAAGAACTCAATTAGTACAGGTCTAGAGTTTACTTGATTATACCTTAAAATATGCTTGTTCACTGGCGTCTTTGTCCTCAAATTCTGGCACAAGAAAAAACAAAATATAAGTATTACATGATAGGTCACAGTTTTCTACTAAAAAATACATATCTATGAACAAGCCCCTAAAATACTGTATAATCTCCAAGGGGTATGCAATTGATAGTTATGCTTTAAAACACGCAAGGCTTTCTGAATTGCCAAATGAAAAAATTCTAGGCAATTTAAACAGGACCTTCTCCTAGGAAAAAAAAAAATGGAACTGCTATTAGAGAAATCATAACAAAAACTATTTTGATAAGCAATCTCATCCAAAAATTGTAGCACAAAAAATATTTCAACGTACTACATACTAAGCACAAAATATTTTTACACAGATGGCCAAAACAGCCAAAAAATAATTTAACCAATAACCAATATTACATTTATCAGTGAAAATGAATAATTTATTTTAAGCCAAGATTCTGATATACTACAGGATAAAGATATTTTAAGCAATCTCTTTACACATAAAACTGGGAAGACTATAGTTCATCGAATAAAGAAACCAAACTACATTATTTAACAACACAAAATGGAATCTGAATATGATCAAGCTAAAGAGAAACTAGGAGGGTAAATTGTTTGTCTCTCATGCACTGTGTCAATGTTTTAAAATCAACTCCATAAGAAGAACAAGCTTTTACCCATAAAGGCGTAGCACAAACTGTCTCCAGTTTTGTGATCCCAGATAACCGAAAAAATAGAAACGATTTTCAGATGAAATTGAAAAATCATTCCAAAGTTAATCAACAGTGAAACACATGGAGAATTTTTTTTATTTTTTATTTTTTTTAAAAGGGAAAAATAAACAGGCCAAGCACTTGAGAGACTTACAAAGTTACCAACTCCAAAACGAGAAAAGATTGTATGCAAGTCCTCATCTTAAATGTAAAAGAAAGCATGGTATACCAAAATTAAGTGAGGCCCACCACAGAGGAACTTCAAGGCCTAGTATTAAAATAAAAAATAAAAAATAAAAAATAAATAAAAAAAAAAAAACTTAATCCATATAAAATACATCGTCATCAACCTAAATTAAGAAGATTTATAAAGCCTATGGACAATGAGTTTGAATCCCAACAGTGCATGGCAAGTAACAATGGCATTACGTTCAGATAGTTGTGCTATAATTTCCTAAGCCAGTTAAAATTTAAAAAATCTCTACACTTAAATGAGGAATAAAAGTTACATAAGACCACCAATATTTTCCTTGTAATTATAAATATGGTATAGATCAGGATATCTCAATTAGGGGGTGATATGATGATCCCATAGATTAGATTACTGATTCTTTTACTTATTATTTTCTTACACTTCCACATACTTGTATAAATATATCTTGTACTCCCCATTGTGAAATACAATAAATCAGTTATACATCTTAACACGTTACTGCACTTCTACTGACCCACACAGTGAATAATCCCCTTACATAGTCATTACCCAGAATTTATTGATGAATAGAATTTAACCTGTTTACATGACAATCAAGTCTCGGAGTTGAATTACAATACAGATTTTAGATCAAGCATATACCGATGATCTATAGTATTCATGAATCAACCCACTGTAGCAAGTTGATATTGTCAATTTCCAGAAAGATTAGAAGTAAAATATGTTCTTGAAAATAGCTACTCATTAAGTTCTGATCAAATGATTAAATGGACTTCTTCTAAGAATCTACATGATCATTTAGCTATCTAGTTGACCTTTCAATAAATCCATCATACAAATGCTAATATATATACATATATATGTGTGTGTGTGTGTGTGTGGCGTGATAGTGAGCTGCAAGATATGTGTTTGAGTATATATATATAGTGAGCTGCAAGATGAACGAGACAAAATTTACAAGCAAAAATGTCAGAGTAATTCCTTACTTCATCTTTTGGTTTTCCTTCTGGTGAAGTATCGGGGATCAAATCACCAAGCTGCGGAGGGTCATCAAATGGATCATCCAACATTTATGTATGCATTATTCTGCATTGTTGGAAAATAGTTAGAGGGGAAAAGAACTCAAAACAATGTTACTGAACACACGAATTAACAAGCATTAAGAAAAATCTAACCTGATGTTTTTGTACTGTCTGCTCTTTTCATCCACATACTCTTCATTGATTCTAGTAAGTGTGTCGAGCCCTTCAGCAACCCCCCAAATACCTGACATCTCAAAATAATAATACTTAAACAACAACTGAACCTAACTTTTTTATCACATGTCCGTTATGGGGGATAAGCTATAAAAGACAGCTAAGCACATTACATTATGCATCAATTATTAGAGTTCACAGGAGAAGAGAAAATTAGTCTATTTTAATCTATCTAAGTATCTAATTAGGAACTAGGCCTGTAGATTGAGGAATCTTATCACTATCAGGGTTAATTTATCATTCAAGTCAGTGTTTTTTTTTAGGGAGGACGCTATTGAGAATGTTTTGTGTTCGTCAAAAATAAACTGTGGATATTTTCCTGAGGAGAACTTTGTGTTCTTACAGCAGAATTGCACCAAGAAAGGCAATGTATTTTATATATTTCTTTTTTATTTTACATCAATAAAACCCTTGACTCTATAAGTGTAGTATATACACAGCCAACATCTTGTTTGTAATTCTCATAGTGAAAACAGTATAAATATATAGAAAAAGTCGAGCGCCTTGAAATAAACAAAGCATCTTTCATCTTTTTATATTTCTGCATAGCCATCTTAAGAAAGTGGCATACTCCTTTAATGCACATAATCATCCAAAAGTGAATATCACAATGTGAAAACTACCAAGATAATGCCTGCAGCATGCATACAAAATCTTTACAAGTATTCTTGTTTCATGTTCTATTTTCTTTACTTCTCTAGTCATGCTGTGAGGTATACATGCATCAGCTGCTTACAGAGTTCATATGCACATCTGTTTCTAGGAAAAAGGAGCAAAATAATACAAAAGAAAGCGTAGGGAGTATATTAGATCAGAAAACACACAGCATGCTTTCCATCCAGGTAATCAAGACCATCCTGCAGCGTGATAGTGAGCTGCAAGATATGTGTTTGAGTATATATATATAGTGAGCTGCAAGATGAACGAGACAAAATTTACAAGCAAAAATGTCAGAGTAATTCCTTACTTCATCTTTTGGTTTTCCTTCTGGTGAAGTATCTGGGATCAAATCACCAAGCTGCGGAGGGTCATCAAATGGATCATCCAACATTTATGTATGCATTATTCTGCATTGTTGGAAAATAGTTAGAGGGGAAAAGAACTCAAAACAATGTTACTGAACACACGAATTAACAAGCATTAAGAAAAATCTAACCTGATGTTTTTGTACTGTCTGCTCTTTTCATCCACATACTCTTCATTGATTCTAGTAAGTGTGTCGAGCCCTTCAGCAACCCCCCAAATACCTGACATCTCAAAATAATAATACTTAAACAACAACTGAACCTAACTTTTTTATCACATGTCCGTTATGGGGGATAAGCTATAAAAGACAGTTAAGCACATTACATTATGCATCAATTATTAGAGTTCACAGGAGAAGAGAAAATTAGTCTATTTTAATCTATCTAAGTATCTAATTAGGAACTAGGCCTGTAGATTGAGGAATCTTATCACTATCAGGGTTAATTTATCATTCAAGTCAGTGTTTTTTTTTAGGGAGGACGCTATTGAGAATGATTTGTGTTCGTCAAAAATAAACTGTGGATATTTTCCTGAGGAGAACTTTGTGTTCTTACAGCAGAATTGCACCAAGAAAGGCAATGTATTTTATATATTTCTTTTTTATTTTACATCAATAAAACCCTTGACTCTATAAGTGTAGTATATACACAGCCAACATCTTGTTTGTAATTCTCATAGTGAAAACAGTATAAATATATAGAAAAAGTCGAGCGCCTTGAAATAAACAAAGCATCTTTCATCTTTTTATATTTCTGCATAGCCATCTTAAGAAAGTGGCATACTCCTTTAATGCACATAATCATCCAAAAGTGAATATCACAATGTGAAAACTACCAAGATAATGCCTGCAGCATGCATACAAAATCTTTACAAGTATTCTTGTTTCATGTTCTATTTTCTTTACTTCTCTAGTCATGCTGTGAGGTATACATGCATCAGCTGCTTACAGAGTTCATATGCACATCTGTTTCTAGGAAAAAGGAGCAAAATAATACAAAAGAAAGCGTAGGGAGTATATTAGATCAGAAAACACACAGCATGCTTTCCATCCAGGTAATCAAGACCATCCTGCAGCGTGATATAGAACTGAAAAGAATAAAATGTAAGAAGCGCTGAAACAAATTAAGCCTCTTCCAGGTGAGAAGGCCATCTTGCTGTTTCTCCAAGAGAGTATTTATGGTAAAAGAACATATGTAACTGTACCTGAGAAGCATTCACATTCTCTCCAGTACTAGCCATGGCTACAGAACCCATCTTTGAATGTTTTACATCCATGGCTACAGAACCCATCTTTGAATGTTTTACATCCAAATGAATCTCATCACTGAGAAAAAGCGAGCCTTTCCATATAGAAATCTGAAATCACATGCTTTGAGAGGGTCATATCCACGAAGGCGATATATCAAATCAAAAACCTCGAAAACACTTGAAAACTGCGAGGTAGATAACAAACTTTGAAACAATGCATGAGAACAAAAGGGAGTGTTTGAAAATCACCAAGCTAATATTAATCTAACTTGATATTGAATTATAGAAGTTAAGTCAGACATGCATTAGAAAGTGCAAACTGTTAGGTAGCCAAGCAACATGGTGGATATCAACATAACTAAACTTCATTATACTGACAAAATAATTACAGACATGACACTAGCCAAGATTTAAATACACTTATCAAGACCAAAATACGTTAATTATTTTTCAATACAAAGAGACAGACAAGGACACTCTATTATAGACCTACTCACTAATCTATCTCACCGCTCACTCTTGGAGCACTCATAGGACACGCCTCTATTAATTTGCAACTCTCAGCACTCACTCTCTTAGAACACGAGTTACACGATCATTAGGGTTTGGCATTGTCTGTATTTATTTCTTGTGAAAGGAGGTGGATTTATTTAAACATTTCAACAAATAATGCTTTAGCAACTTGATGAGTCGCATGGGAAGAATTGAGAATACTCCTGAGTATTTTTATGCTAAATGGCTGCAAGTTGAGAGTTGATATAAGTTGCAATACTGATCCAATCATCAGGGACTTCCAACAGCAGGCAGTGTCGGAATTTATTTTAACAAAAACTACAACTGTATAGCACAATTAGTGGCTATAGATATATCCATCAACTTATGCAAAAAATTCTTACTTGTATACAGAATCACCACCAGAACCTGTCCCAGTAGGATCACCTGTCTGTGCAGTAAAATCGTTCTGTACTGTGTGAAAGAGGCATCCATTATAATACTTGATTCTGCAGTCGAAAACAAATAACATAAGATCAACTCTCGTCCAATATATTCTCCCTCTAAAAGATTAAACTAAGTTAATTCAGCCTAGAAGGCTGTCCATGAAGATAGTTTATATCCAAGGGCGACCAAACGGGTGCTCAGGCAAATCAGCCCCACACATAAATTTTTTTCAACAGAATTCATCAAAGGAGTCTACAATACATCCCCATAAAGAATGCAAATTTCAGCTAACAAAAAATCAAGGTTCAAACAATAACCAACCTAAAGACAGCAGTCAAGTTTCAAATCAGACATGTAAAACCTTAAAAAAGTGTGAACAATCCAATAGAACTCTAACACGAGACAATCCAGTTGTAAATGTTACCATCGATTATCACAATCTGGAAATTCAAATTATTTATCGCACAAGTTAAAAGAAAAGAAATCCGAAAATTGCTAGGTTGTAGAGAATGCGTTCCCATTCAAAAGCTCCGTAACTTACTTGCACAGCTTGAGAAAATTTTTGCAGGTCAATGGGCATCCATCTGTGAACAAATCCACCACCATGCTCCAGAAGCTCGTCACAATCATAACCGACATCTCCGTCTCCGTCCAAAATTCTGGAGATACGTTGATAAAAGGAGTTGCAAAGCAGGGCAGAAAGCTGCTTTTAACTTTTTTTTTTTTCTTTTAAACGTAGTGCTACAGTTTCCGGGTATGTTTGGTTGATGGAAGAAAATGAAGGGGATGACTGGGGATTTAAAACGATAATAGGCTAAGTTTGTAGCCAGGACTTGAAATCTCTTGATTTTATATTTTTTAAAATATAAATTTTCTATTTCCAAACTATATTTTTTAAAATATAAATTCATTGTCTAGCTTGATGGTGTTTACTGTGATGAATCTAGATGAAGAGTCGTAATGGCACTCGTGATGGTGATGAATTTAAGTTTGTGAAGTTAATTAAAATCCATTAAAATAATGACTAAGGCAATTTCACCTGTTTGATAGATTCAGATGACCTGGTTCAGACTTTAGCAAGGAAGTTGGTTCCCAGGTGTTGATTGAGTTGTTTATTCTTATGTCTGTTTTTAGTAAAAACAAGAGGAATTTACACCCCATCCCTTCATATTTCATTTATATTACATTTATACATCTCTTTGATTTTTATTTATAACATAGCTAAACAAACACAATAATATTACAAATCTACCTAATATATTGTGTTGGCAAAAATATAACCGTCATTAGCTTATTTTGCGGACAGATTAAATGGTATGATTTTATTAATTGATATTAAATATACACTTACCTAAAAAATCTGAACAAAATTCTTAACAATCCCATCCCACCGCCAAGTTCACATCTCGAAGCAAAGGTTCTCCATCGTTTTTTCCCCTAAATTCATGAACATTTTTCAAGGAATTAACTTTCTCTTTCTTTTGGATCATTACTACCGCCTCCGTAATTCGTTCTTCTATCGGCCAAGCAGAGAACTTAAGGTCGCCGGAGATACTGGAAGAGAACGATAGGCTCAGGAGGGAGAATTTGTAGATGAGCAAGGAATTGAATCGGCTGAGGGGCCTTTTGCGGCAATATATGCAGTCCGATGTCTAGTTACGCGGCTAATCCGGGCGAGGATGGGAGGATGTCGGTAAAATCAGCGAGCACGGAGGGAGCGGCAGAGAAGGGAATGTGCCCTACAATATTTCGGGTTATGATAGGCGTGAAGCGACTGAGGTGCGAGGACCGGACCATGCTCCTCAGTAGGCAGGAGGCAAATTTGAACCGTCGGATCGTGGAACCTTTTTATTTTAATCGACCAGACAAGTGTTTTTTCTTTTTTGTGGTATATTTACGTTACTTTTCTTAAGAAAAAGATCGATCGCGCCTCTGTCGTTTGTGTTGTATTGTGTTATATGTACAGTATATGATGGGTATATGTACAGTATATGTTAAATATATAATTTTTTCTATCTATTTTGACGAAAAACTTCTCAGAGGGTAATTGTCGAACACTTGGTGTGCTTAATTTGTTGATAGATAGTTCTATTCTGTACATATTGCGGGTATATGTTGTGGGTATATATGGTATATTTTCAGTATATTTTTCGATATGACAATATGTATATTTCGGGTATGAAAATTTTGTACATGATTTACATGTTACCATCAGATATGACAATTTACACGTTGCGGGTATATACCAAAGTTGTACAACACACATATACATAGAATATACATAGAATATACATAAAATATGCATAAAATACACACTCGAGATTCACGTTACTCAAATCCGCGACACCACATATACATAAAATATACTTTAAATATACACTCGAGTTTCAATCGTTTCTCAAAATCGATTTTAGAACCCACATATATATAAAATATACCTAAGATATACACTCGAGATCACGTAAAAATTCTGAATGAAGACCGTCGGAAAATTCTGCTCGCCGGCGTGTGTTTCTTTCTTTTGTCCTGTCCGTATCTGTCAATATTATGAATTGAAATTCAAATATGATATCCTTCCATCTTGAGAGCTGAAATTATGAGCTAGAAATATGGAAAGGTTGTTCCATATCATGTAACTGATTTAGGCATGACTTTAATTAATTTTTATTTTTTAGATATAAACACAATTTAATTGATTAGAGTAGTAAATATGCAATTATTTAAAAAACGTGCAGTACAGGTGCAAATCTCCCTAAAAACAACTAACAAAGGAAGCATTACAAACTTTTAGTTTTGGAACTTTGTAGTGTTGGGCTTTTTTGCCTTTTAGGGTCAGGGTCTTTACCTTTCCCGAGCCTCTCGGGCTTACTGTTGTATGTCCAAGTTGGCAGTAGTCATTAGACTGCCCTTGTAGTCTTATTTATTGAGTTTTATTACTTTATGTAAGTTCTTTGTTTGCCGTTAAAAAATAAATAAATAAATAAAAAATAAAAATAACCAACAGGTCCAAGTTTGAATATCTATATGAGAGCGTTACAACTCTAAATTGAAGTAATTCGTAGATTATGGCAACACAAAACTACAGCTTGATCTACATGGCCATTTGCCACTCAAAATTTGAAGGGCAAGGTTCTCTCCGTAGCCCTCACTAAGTCAGTATGGGAACCACAAGCAATCATCTCATTCATCATACAGTAATTTTGGTCACACAACAACCGCTGACGAAAAAAAATGATCTACCCGACCAGAACGACTCTTGATAAACAATCAGAATGCCATTACACAAGCACTATCTGTACCTAGAGACCCACCTTTCCCCCAATTAAAACTGAACCTGCAAACTCTTTTCCATTCTGACTAACAAATTCTGCTGGTTTGATGAACTCACAATATGCTTTTCTTACCAGCCAAAAGGAGGCCTCTCGAGTTCAAACTTTGAACGCGCCATCAGGCAACAGCGGACCTCCTCTCGAGCAATGATTCAAGAAAATCCAAACACAACTTGGGGAGAGAAGGAAGACTGTGAGATGGTCCGCTGAATATTGTCTTCCAGGTTCCATCAGATGGCACAGATAGGAATGGAGACTCGTTTGTTTTCAAGCTGAATTCCGGTAGTTCACCATATATTGATGCATATCCAAATTTTCCTGCTCAAGGGGAAGAAAAAAGTTGATAAATTAGGAACATGTCAGTGTTTGATGTGCATTAAGGTCACATAAATGCCAAATTATTTCATTGCATAATTAGGCATAAAAAAATTTCATTATCCCACCAAATGAAAATGCCAATAAGTAAAATTTTAAAATTGAATGACGTAATTTTGACGATAGCGTTACATGCTCACTTGTAAAAGGATCTTGAAGGCTGCTGCTTATAATAGCATTGCTGAACAAAGAGAAACACTTACCCGTTTCCTCAAGGCTACTGAAGTTCTGCTGACAAGAAATGCTGAGCTCACTCGCCAGGTCACCATTTGGGTTTAAGAGAACATACTCATTAGCACCATTAACATAAGCAAGTACTTCGTTTGCTGCTTCTGTTTTAGGAACCTTATCATCCAATTGGCTACTCAACTGGACAAAACCAAGTCTTCCACACTGGGCCTGCAATATGGTAATATTTTGAACACGAGGAAAGACTTGCAAATAAAATCCGATTTATACTTTAAATTTTAAAACAGAACTCTGTGTTCCTTCATTGCACTTGCATTTTCCTTCTAATGAAAGGCAACTGGCTACAGTGCTCTACTGGTATATGCTTTCTTACTAGAGTCCAGCATCTAAACATAACATATCTGTGATCCTCGTGATTTTTTTCTTATTTATAAGCCAAGTAGCAGCAGAATCTTCAGCTATATGCAAATTCATCTTAGCATTTCCATAGTGTTCAATGGCTCGACTGCTAGCAATTCTCACAATGTAAACCCAAGAACTAGGCCAAGACATCACATAATGACTAAACAAATAAAACTCAAAATTGTAAACATGAGTAAAAAACACCTAGTTTGAATGCGCGAAGTAAGTTGGGAGGGAGGGTAACCTTGCTCACAAACCACGTCGACAAGGGCACTGGGTTTTCTGCATTGAACAGCAAGATCATGCCATCTTCCCCCGTTGATTTTACTTCAGCAGATGCCGTATGCTTTGATGAACTCAAGAGAACAAGAACAGCAAAGGTGGAATTATCCATTGAACAAGCAATAGCTGCAAAGGATAACATAAATTATTAAACTACCAAGGAAATCTTACCCCAAGGAAACACATGGAAATGTAGTGTGAGAATCTATCCACAAAGTTAAACAAACATAGCAGTACATGAACACCTATAAAGAAATTGGTAGCAATAACTAGTGCACCAAATTTTTATTCAACTGCGAATTCTTTATTTATTACGATACAAATGAGTGAAAAATAAGAAAGACATAAGCACACAGATCGTCAACTTATACAACCCACTGCATAAAGCCAGTGTGTACATCCACCTAATAACCAGTGCCTAATAATTAAATCTGGCGCGGAAAAAACAAGTCAAAATGAAAAATTATCCTAATCAAGTGATAATTCCCTTGAAGGAAAAAATCATGCGCACCTTCAGTATCAAGCCTGTAGGACCAAGTTGTACGCAACTTCGACATACTCCACATATTCAACCTCGGGTTTGAACCTCGTGACACAGACACAAGGTACTCCGACTTCCCAACGAAGGAAAGGTTTGTAATTGGCTGTTAGAATACAAAAATTCAGTAATTATAATTTGTTGATGTCATGGCAAGGTAAAAAAACACGCATACACCAGAAAAAAGAAAGACCTATTGGCTGAAAATGGGGGCTAATAACAAGAAGTAATAGATCGTGAAAAGTCACCTCTGGACTATCTCCAATTACAGCCAGAAGAGCATTCCTGTCAGGGTCCCACAATGTGATAACCTCTTGTCCAGCAACAGCCAAAACAGAACCATCACGAGAAAATGCAGCACTAGTCATGGGTTTCTTCCTGTCAAATAGAATCTTTGTTAATACAAGTGATCATAAGTACACTGCATATGCTTATCTGATCAATGCTTTTAATGCATCAAATGCTATTGATG